GTTTGGTGCCTGGCATAGGATGTGAGCGGCCTGAGCCGCCGCGGCCGCCCGCCGAGCGTTTGGCCCCAGGCCCGTCGCGCATGCAGGGAAGCGAGGGCTCTTAAAACGTCCCGGCCCTCTCACGGACACACACACCCCACAAGGCCACCCACGTGGTCCTCCGCGGAGCCGTCAAAGTTGTGGGTCACGCACACGTTGCCTTTCAGCTCCGTGATGGGCTTGCGCTGCGACAGGGGGAGCGACAGGGGAGGGGGGGGTGCGCAGCAATGAGCGCCACCGCGGAGGGGGGGCAGAAGGTGACAGCGCCACGCCGCCGACGGGGCGGCCGCAGCTCCGTGCCGCCGGCGCCCGGCGCGGCCGCCTGCCGCGGCTGCTGCAGGCGTACAGGCGTGCCTGCTGCACCCCGCGCCAGCGCCAGCGCCAGCGCCCCTGGCCTGCTGCGAACACATGCCCAGCGTTGCGACAGCCCACGCAGGTCACCCGCTTCCCCACTACCACCCCAACCACGGGCGCGCATGTACGCGCACGCACGCGCACACACACACACACACACACACACAAATACATACACACACACGCTCTCTTTGTCGCTCCCTCTCACACGCCCACACGCACACTCACACGCAAGATCGTGTGCGCGCACGCGTGCGCGCGCGCGCGCACACACACACCCACACACACACACACACACACACACAATCCACCTCCAGCCCCCTCACCGGCGGGGCGTCCGGGTCCAGGAAGTCCTCTGGCACCCACTCCGGGACGCTGTCCTTCTCCTGCTGGCTGATTATGTAAGCCTTGAGGGTCAGCGGGAAGCTGCAGCGGTCCTGGAACTGGACGTCCACCCGCACCTTGAAGTTGGGGGTCAGGCGCCTGGTTGATGAGGGGGGCCAGGGAGGGAGGGCGGTTGGGTGCGACGGGTTGGGAGTGTGCTGGGGTTGGCGCCTGGGGCCAGGGCCGCCGAGGGGCGCGCCGCTGGGCAGTTCAGGGGATGCCAGCCCTGCGCCGCCGTGGCGCCGCAAAGAGGGGCGCGGGCCGTGTGCGAGCGCAGGGCCGGCCGCCGCAAAGCCGCGCGGCGCTGCCGCGCGTCCCAGCAGGCATGCTGCCAGCTGGCGGAGGGCCCGGCCCGCCGCCGAGGGCGCCGCCGCACCAAGCCTGAGTGCCCGCCGCGCCCCAAAAAGCGGCGCAGCGCCGCGCCGCGCCCATGCGCGCATGAGGGAGCGCATGCGCCGCGCACCTGTCCTGTTTGACCGGCACCGCGTACTCTGCCGGCGCGTCCACTATGCGCAGCGAAACCTTGCAGGGCGCGAGGCCATTGTACAGGAGCGTGTCCTCCGTGAACGCGCTCTCCTCCTGCGCGAGCTTCTCCGCGAACTTGCGGCTGGTCGCGAGCTCCCAGCCGGCCTGGCAGACGTACGCCTCGGGCTGCGTCTTGTAGCGCACGTACGACGTCTGCCAGCGGTCGACGCTGGGCATGCTGTCGCGGCGCGACACGAGGTCGGGCAGGTCTGCGGGGGCGCGTCGGGCGTGCGCGGGGCGTCGGGGCGCGTGTGAGGCGGCCGGGGGCCGCGCGGGGGCGGCGGCCCTGGCTGAAGCGCGGGGCGGAACCCGTGACTACGCATGCACATCGGCGATGCGTGTTGACGCCGGGTCGTGCGCGCATGCCGGCTGCGCCGCATCCTGGGGCCTTCGCGGGCGCTTCGGCATGCAGTTTGACATGCTCACCCGAGCTCCACCACGCCGGGAGCGCCATGCTGCCGCACGATGGGGACCTCTTGGTGATCTGCCCCTCCTCGTTGGCAGCAGCCCCCGCGCCTTCGCAAACTTCTAGTGTGACCTGGATACGAGACTTCCGGCCAAGGCGGCGAGCGGTGCGCCCGCGGGCACAAACCAATACCTCTGGCTTTTGTAACACCGTGAAACAGGGAACCGACCACTTCTGCAACAGCTGCTTCTTCAACAGCTGCTGAGCCTGAAAGCGACACTTCAGGCCCGTTGTTACGGGGTGTCCGTCCGTGGGCCAAGCTTGTCTTGGGTCCGGTGACAAGTCCCCTAGCGAGTAACCGCGAGAGGACGTATGTGCAACTCATGTATCACCGCTGCGATGTGATATTTTAGAGTGGGTGCGTACCCGATGCTCCGCCAACGCCTGCGCTGATTGCCCCTTGCCCTTGACACTGCTGACTCCGCTCTTGAACACATGCACACGTGGGGTGTGGCGTCGTCTTGGGGCACGTGTGGCAAACAGACGCGCCGGTACACGTTTGGTGCCGGACTAGTGGCGTGTGGAGCTGGCAGCACACTGTTGTGTGGCAGGCGACTGTGGTTCCTCCTCAGCGCCGTCCGCCGTGTGTACAGCCTGCCGGCCATCTACGCAACTCGCTGCTGTGGGGGGGCTCCTCAGCAACAGGCTGCTTTGAAAGGCCAGTGGATTGCAGCGTTCAAAGGAATACTGTACAGGCGTTGGCGATGGCGCTGCGCTGATTGGACCGATCTGCTTTTGTGGCGTTGCGTTGTGTTGCGTTGCGCAGCGCTGTGCTGCATTGCTCGGCCGGCTTTGCTTGGCATCGTCTCGCGTGTGCTACGCCTTGTGTTGCTGTGCGCTTGACTTTGCTCTGCTCTTTGCTTTGCAGTTCACTCCAGTTTGCCGTGCGCTTCACAATGCTCTGCGCTTGGCGTTGCTTCGCTCAGCGCTCTCTATTCCCCGGCCCTTTGCTTTGCTCAGTGCTCTCTTTTGCTCTGTGCTTTGCTTCGCTCTGCTGTGCCCTGCGCTTGGCTTTGCTCTGCAATTTGCACCACTCTGCGCTTCTTTTTGTTTCGCCAGGCGCTTTGCTTCGCCCATCGTTGTGCTTTGCTCTGCGCTTTGCATCACCCACGCTGCGCCCTGCCCCGCTCTTCGCTTTGCATCGCCCTGCGATCAGCTGCGCTCGGCGATTCGCTTCGACTTGTGCTTTGCTTCACCCTGTGCCCCGCAACATTCATGTTGAGCGCATCAGACGTGTAGCGGCCAGCTGCAACGCATGCAGATGTTGAATTGCTGTGGTGTGTTACAATTGTCGAGGCCAGCCAGACTCCTCTGCCACCATGACCAATCGGTTTGAAATATGAATGGGTCACTACCAAAAGGCCGCCCAGTGGCAGCGGCGTCAAACCACCGACGACGGCAGGTGCGTCACTGATCAAAAGGTGTAAGATGTAGAGACAAAGCAATGAAACCGCACGCAAGCACAGCCCCAGCTGCACACTCGTGCTAGCCGCACGTCGTCCTGTGTCGACTGGCTCAGCCGTCGGCGGCACACGTGCACGCTGCGCAGGCTGAGCAGGGCGCCCGCTGCCAGGGGCCGCTGGCCAGGCGTGCCAGCACACACCCAGGAGACATGCCTGGCCATGGGCCCTGGGGCCTCTCCAAGGCACACGCACCGCAGGTTTGGCCGCCTGCTGCGACGGTGGCGCAGCCCATGGGCTCGCGGCCCGTGGGCCACGCCCCGGCCCCCCGCCGCAGCCCCATGACAGCAAGGGTGTGACTTTGCAGGGTGGCTTGCCCGGGGGCCCTGCCACACACCCCTGCTCTGCTGGGGGCGGGCGGCGCATGGGTGGTGGGGCCGCGGTTGGGCGGGGCCGGCGTGCAAAGCAAGCCCTACCTGCAAAAAGGTGCAAACAGAAGAGCAGCGTGGAAAGGTGGAGCAGCAAAACGTGACATCACTGGTGGAAACAAGCTGAAATACGGTGAGGACAAGGCAAGTTTGAACACAACGCGAGAACAACAAAACCTCTCGTAACAAGCAAGCCCCGCTGTGCTTGGCGCCTGCTGCCGGAGCAGCACCGACTGACGCCAGGGCTGCAAGAGGGCCAATTCCCTCGGATCTCGAGCGGCCGTGTGTGGCGCGTCCTCGGGGCCGACCTTGCGCAGTCTGGGTCTGCACGCCAGTCCAGCAGAGGCTGGTCACGGATAGGTTTGCCCCATTCAGGGGCACCGCTTCTTGGCTAGTTGCTATGCTGCTCGTCCCCCCTGGTGCTGCTGCTGCCGCTGCTGCGCTGCTGCCGCTGCTGCCCCTACCTGCTGCTGCCCCTGCCTGCTGTTGCCGCTGTTGCTGCTGCCGCCATTGCCGTGCGTTGCAGCTGCTGCCGTTGTTGCTGCTGTTGCTGATGTTGTTGCTGTCGTCGCTGCTGGCCCTGCGCATACGCCCCAATCTGATTTGCTGTATGTTGGTCTCAGCCGCCGATTCTCCCTGCGGGCATCGACGGTTTCCCGCGCCGACAGCGCCGACAGCAGATCCCCGACCGTCTGCAGGCGGCGTTTGTTTCCCGCCAAGGCGAGGCAGGGGAAAGCCGCGGCCAGCGGCTCCGCCCGGCCCTGGCCGCCAGGGTCCCCAACGAAGGGGCGGCTTCGCGCCGGCAGCGCCGACGCCCACGCTGCCGCCGCCACCTCAGGGCCGAAATGGCCAGCCTCGGCGGCGGCCAGCGCCACAGCCCGCTTAGCGCCCGCCATCGCCGATGTTTCACCTGGGTCCAACAGCACGTCCCTGCTGGGCGGCTCGTCTTCCAGAGCGCTGACTGGCAGCCGGGCTGTGGTGATGCGCCGCAGGGGGTAAAACAAAGTAGCACCAGTTCCCCGGTGCCACGGACAACGGCGGGTGGTGCAGGGGGCCCAGCGCAACCAGGCCAGCCTGCATGCGCGCCAACGGCGGCGGCAGCACACGCAGTCGGCTTCCAACAGGGCCAGAGGGGGCGGCAAAGCCGGCGGCGAGGCGCTTTATTTGCAGCACGGCGTGGCCCAGGCGTACGTACCCACATGGTTTCGTCGCTGCCCACCAGGAAGCCGTGCGCGCCCCCCACTTGGCCCAGCGGCCGAGCACGTGCGTTTCCAGCGGCAGCACCGTGCTGCCGAAGCCGCCCGCCTTGGGGCTGTCTGCGAGAAGGTCTGCTGCAAAGCTTGCGAACCGGCGCGGCGCCTGGTCCTCACGCGCTGCCCCGTGAACGACAAGACGCGCGACTGCTCGCTGCAGCTTCCTCTCGACCGCTGTTTGGCCACACACCCGATGGGGCATGCCGCTGAACTCAGCATGGTAAAGGATCGTGCGTGCTGACCGCGTAGCCAGCCGACCCGATGCCCCGACCAAACATCCAGAGTGGCTTGCCGCTAGCTTCTTGCAGCGGCGCCGCACCTCCGTCATGCGCGCCGGCCAGTCCACTGCCGCGGGGCCGTTGCAGAAGGCGAGGCCCAGTGAGCGGGTCGCCTCCGCATACCGCAGCCCGCTGACCTACCTGCATGGCTGCAGGGCCGAGCTGCTTGCCCGCACCGCAGCGACACTGGTGGTGTAGTCTCTGCTGCTGCTGCTGCTGCTGCTGCTGCTGCTGCTGCTGCTGCTGCTGCTGCTGCTGCTGCTGCTGCTGCTGCTGCCGCTGCTGCCGCTGCCGCCGCCGCTGCTGCTGCTGCTGCTCCTGCTCCTGCTGCTGCTGCTGCTGCTGCTGCTGCTGCTGCTGCTGCTGCTGCCCCCCACCCGCCTCCTGCCGTACGAAATCCTGCCGCGCTTCCGCGTCTGCCCGTAGCTCGGCCACCGCCACCGCCGCACCGAATGAAAATTTGCTTTGCTCTGTTACAATCGTCTAGGCCAGCTAGACTCCTCCCGCCACTGTGACCAACCGGTGTGAAACAACAACAGGGCTTTAAGCACAAGCTAGTCGCCCAAGGCAGGCGGCAACACACGTAACACCAAACAAGCCAAGATAAAGCTGCAGATATACAAACAGAGCAATGAGGGCGCACTGCACACACCCCGGAGACATGCCTGGCCCTGGGCCCTGGGGCCTCTCCACCCCCGTGCCGGCAGCGGCGGATACAGGGGTGGTGGGGCCGTAGTCGGGCGGGTGCGGCAAGTAACGCCCCCCTTGCAAGACCGCGTAGAAATCTTTCTTTGCTTTGTTACAATCGTCTAGGCTAGCTAGACTCCTCCCGCCACTGTGACCAACCGGTGTGAAACAACAACAGGAGACAAGCGCAAA